TCTTCTCTAGAAAGAGAGGGGGCAGATGGGCTTCGTGGCACAAGGTCAGTGCTACAAGGCGGAGCTAAAAGAACTGCTGCCCGAGAGTCTCCAATTTTTTATGAATTTTCTTAGCAAGGTGGGACTCGAACGACCTCAGAAAAAACAGATTTTGTCTTGCTTTGCTTTCAAATTGAACGCGTCGCCATAAAGCTGTCGACATTTTTCTTCCTCATTGATCCTAGAATTGGTTAGTGTCGGTTCTCAGCGCGAAGCCCCTCTCATTCTACCAGCAAGTCACGATCAGAAGAATCAAATTTGGAGGAGATTTGGCTGTCGCTGTCAGAACTCCCAAATCGTTTAAGCTGACTATTGTCGCTGGTGAGTTGTTGGAACGCTGTAACCAGCTCACGATGCCATATGCTGGATAGTCAACTGAAGGAAGAATGGAAAACCAACAGAAGCATGACGATGTAGGGTTGTGTGGAGCTGGATCAGGCTCACAGCATGTGAGATGCAAACTCCACATCTTTATCTTTTTGTTTTGGTAGGAAATTCGAAAAATCGAACCCGATTCTTTCATTACTTCCTTCAGTTGATCTGCACCTTATCCTCATTCAAAAGTTCCATGCTGGCCCGTAAGGATGAGTCCATAGAGAAGATCAATGAAGCCGCTTATTGTTGGATCTCCCAAAGTTTCATACGAACGCGATCCGATGGGTTTGGAGGTTCAGGGATATGAGTACTACAGAGCAGCAGCTCAGCTCCTGAATATAACTTGGTAAACCACAGTAGTCATATGATATTTATAACATAGAAATCTGTTACAATCCATATGGCACTATATCACTCTTGAGTACAATTCTTATTATAAATAAAAGCAACGTGACAGTATTAGTTCGACTCGAGTGGAGGAAAAATAAGGAGGGAGGGCAGAAGGTCGACCAGAAGAAGTTACTCTACTACTTCTTCTTCATGTCCTTCATAACCTTCAGTCGTTGTAACGATAACATCCCAATGAAAAGAACGAATTTCAAGTTTTCAATGAAGAGCCACCTTGAGAGAATACAGAGGGATTTCAGATTCTGTTGTGATGACCTCATTTCAGGCTACCTCGAGACAACGACTGAAAAAGACTGAGAGGCCAAATCCTCAAAGTAATCGTCAGGATACAGCAAGAAAGAAGCTGAGTTGGAATAAATTCTTATTTTCATACAGAACACAAACCAAGGATAACCTAGTAATTATCACATTGACGGGACATTAAGTAAGGATTAAAAAATGATTATGTCCAAATGGTGAATGGTTAACTATACTGAACTCTACAAACAGAACATTAACCACGAACATGTCTATGTACCTGATGCGGATGATGAGACAAGCCGGACGAGTTTACACCAGACATGGACGGCATTCCTCAATATCTCTTTTGTATCTGCCCCTGTCATGCACAGTGAACGCAAGTCCGGCTCTAGTAAATTGTCCATCAAAGAATAACCCGGATCATTGAGGAAGGGAGATGAATATTTCATTCAATTATAGGCTGGGAGGTTTCGGCTAAGGGCTGCTCATTGTGTTGCAAAATTTTTAGCATCTAGGGTACCGGAGGTTTCACCCAAATTCACCCCTTATATTTTGTGAAATTGGAAGAGATTCATATGGTTTTCTCGCGACAAGAAAAACTTACCCAAGGCACTGAACTTTCCTCCGCAACTTCAATTATTGAAACTACATATGTTGCTTGCTAAATTAGATTTGGATACGTTTTTTTCATCTACCGCCTTGTTGACGTCCATTAGAAAAGGGCGACAAGCAGAAAGGTGGGGGAAATTAACAAAACGCCGCATTCTGACCACTTACAATGATCCACTTTCGGACACAGTATCGATACCTGGCTGCAAAAAATCCAACCCTTCATCTGTCGACAAAATATCTCCGGTGGGGGAACAAGATCGAAATCTGAGTAAACATGCGCACAGTTCCCTACGGTTCGAACGGCTTGATCATTTTCGGCCCTCTCTAACAGACTAGGAAAACAAGTCCCAGGGATGTATCAGGGATAATTTTGGGCACGTGCGGTGAGGTGACTGGCGAGCGAATAAAGGGACGTGATAGAACAAATAAAGTCGTTGAATCTCAATGGCGTCCGTCGAGTGCGTCAAGGTATTTGTAGTCGATCAGACGTGGGATAAGCGTGTGCCTGGAATTAAGTTAGCATTAAAAACCGCGTAACGATTAAAGCGCTCAAAAATGAGAAAATAATCGTGAATAAACTTGAAGAAGCTTCAATCAAAAATCTGAATTCTCGAAAGCTCTACTTCAGTCTCGAGTAGTCAATCCTTTAATATCGTTACATTTCCTTGCTCTTATACTTAATCTGGTTACCCCGAAATCTGTTCATAACATCTTTCTCTTGAGGAACCAAATTTGAATCGCTGACCGCCAGAAAGTTCAGCTTTGGGAAGCGCCACGCACGCACCTGTGCTTAAAACTGCAAAGGCATTCGATTGTCTATTTCTGCTGCTATGACCTGTGGAAGCCAGTCATTCCATCCTTGTCGTGTAGTGATGGCAAACCTAAGCCTACTGATTTGTTCTACAGGGTGTCCCATAAATATTGCACCACTTTCTTTACTTGTAACTTTTTTTCAGAATGGATGTATCTTTAAGGGATCTTACAAGCACTTCAGCCATACGTTCGCACATTAAAAGGAATGACATTCATTGGATATGCTCCCCTGTAGTTGTTATTATGGCTCCCAATTGCTTCAAACGCAACTCTACTGTGGCCCGCATGGCATCCTGGGGTGTTCTCTTCGAAACTTTGCAGAGAAAAGGCTCCGGCTCATCCATGTGGATGCAATGTTTAGTGCAGGCTCTGCCCTCTAACATAGCCCACATAGGATGGCCCAGCACGCTGAAATCAAGGATAGGAGAGCCATTCGTTCGAGGATGTGAAATCGGAAAGAGTGCCTTAACAGCGCTCCTAAACAATTTTTGCCTCCTATGCAGAAGCTGGGTCCTATTGAAAGGAATCATCACCCTCCTCGAAATGGCTACGACCTCTATACAGGAAGATCCACCTAAATTTCCTTGGTCGGTTGTTACTCGTTATTGCTTTGTAAACTAAGGTGATGGTGGACGCGAGCGGTGCAGTGAGACCCGTCCCAGGGGGGGGGGAACCCATTGGATTAAGGTTTGGCTGACTGCCTTTGGGTGAATATTCTGCTTTCCACTATCGGACTTCTCAAGGGACCGGGTGCGAGCCCCTCAGTTGCGGAGATTGTGGCTCTCTCGCACTTTGAGAGGGAATCGTCGCAGGAAAAGGTTCCGCTCATCGCCAATTCGGCCGCGACCAGCCCTCTTTGAACTTTTTGTCTCTGCTGTGCTCCTCCCGTTGGATTGAGCAGTGGTGCTTATGCAACTTATAATGGACTGTGAGCAGTTGTTATCCGACCACTCGCTACATGACTGTATTCAGAAACTCCAGCGTTTTGGTCACCTTTCTCGAGCCAACCGGGTATTGCAGTCGTTTCGCTTCTTCATGCTTTTCCTGAGATCCAAGATGTCAGGACTTATGGGGCGGCTACAACAAAGACTACTTTAATTGGTCTTCTCTTTAGTGCACGGTAGGCCACGGAGCGGTTGACAATTCAAAGAAGCGCGATGCTCATCACCGGATGTCCGACCTAGTTGTGTGAAGATTAGGCACTCTTTTGAATTTCAGGGGCATCATGAGATGCAGGCCGAATGGTAAGCCGTGGAATTTGACATGGTCACTGACAAGAATAGGGGATTGAAAGGTCTGCGAATTTCGGAAGGAAAGCTACAACACCTACAGAATTTGAGCTCAAAATTTCGGTGCAATATTTATGAGACACCCTGTAGATTCATTTGGACCGCAAAAACTTGGAAATGGTCGTTGTATTCCTCATAACCTCTGGCAAACTGGCACATGTGTGTTTCATCGGTGCATATGTGGGGATAGGACAAGCAGTTCAAACATTGAAGCAACTTTTTTTCTGGATTTCATCTCTACAACGTTGCTCGCTTCTTCCCCTTCCTCGGCCTGGTTCGCCCTCGATGGTTTTGCGCACCTGTGGACTGGCCATTTAGAAGTCCGGCCTAGATCTCGTCCCCTATCCGAGAACAAAGTCAACTCCCGTTAATTCCTAACGTTTTCCAAAAACTGACCGAGGATTTGCGCGCGGACCTAATTCGAGACTTGATAGCATAATCAGCTATCGCACGGACAGTTTTACATTTCTGCCTCTCTCAAATTAGTTCAGGCGATGTGCTATGGATGGCGTCTTCTATTTTGTCTGGCTATTTTATGCTCCTTATTTAACCTTAGACAGCGACTTTTTGAAATTATGTTATCGATGTGTTTTGTGTAGCAACTATCGCTCCCAGCAACAACTAATCATCTGTAGAAATTTGGCTGACGTGCGCTGGGTTTGACCTGGGATTTGATCAGGGACCATGCGCGCGGTAACGGCCCCTCTTGTCACCACACCATCTCCGCTCGAATGAGTATCCTAGGAATAAAAATGGTAATTTACTACCATTCATGAATACTTATTTTTCACATTTCATTCGCGAAACAAGCCGATGTGAGGTTGGGACCACTTTTGAGAGGAATTGCAAGTCGCACTCTGTTAAGGCCCTTCGGGTTCCGACGGCTGTTTTTGCTCTGACGCAGTCTTCTAATCCAATCTCCGCACCTCTAAACTGCTAGAACTGTGGAAGTTGGAAGCTTCAACAATGTCGTATAACATTGTCCTCAGGCTAGCTTTGGCTGAACAAGCACCCCATGCGTCATCGCTCTGTTTTTGGAAATGTTGAACTGATGCAATAATTTAGGGAGATACTACGCCCAATAGCGCGAGTACTGTGGGTGCCAGACTTGAAAATTCTTTTTGGGAGCTGCGCACACTGGCCAGTAACCTGCGGTATGGCCTACTTTATTGACTTCTCCATGGTAGTAGCTTTAAGTTCTAGCAACTTGCGGCCGAACAGGAATTATAAAGTTTCTCTATGTGCGCAATTCCACCATAAAGCAGGCGCTCCTGGCTCGATAAATCCCAAAATTGTGGTAGTGCCTTCAACTACGGAAGTGGTATACATGAACAGTGGTCATAGGGTTAAGGAAGGGACGTTTTTGAAAGGAAGGGAACGAGAAGTACCCCATAAGCTTACAATGCTGTGAAAATTTTCAGGATTGCAAATGGGAAATGAAATTTAAAACGCTAACCTGATTGGCAGGAAAAAGAAACACACGATAGGGAAGACCATCTCGATGAACGGATATGGAGAGAAGCCAAACGCGCACAGTATAATCAGTTGGAGAAGTTGACAAGCGGTGAACAGATGAACTTTTCGTTGAGGAACCTTTCGAATGTAATGCGTGGGCGGGTAGGCTTGCTGAAAGAAAGGGTTACTGAGAAAAAACCTAAAACTGATAAAAAATGCTGATGTAAGTGAAATTATCAACATGAGCGTGTTGTGTGCCGAATTATGGCACAGCAGTGGTGTTTATGCCAAATCAGCAATTTAAACTCATTCTATCTATCGATACTACCTTAAATATCTTATCTTCTATCTCAAACTCGCAATTATACAGTTTGTGTAGCGTTCAGTTAGTCTTTGTTAAAAATAAGATCAAAAAGTACCTGCTCAGTAATGAGTAGCAGTAATCGCTCAAACATCTCATTGCCAGACAGCGATGTGAGTGCCATGTACAGGAATAGTCCATGCAGTACCGATGTGGGAATCAATTGAAGAGGATATGGTATTAAATAATACGTAGAGAATAGTATCATTACATGAGCGATCAGAGTTGCGAGACGAGTTTCCCGGACATTCATAATCCTAAACATGTGTCACGGCTTGACATTGGAATTGTGGTGTCAAGATAAACGATAAAAATGGGAAAAGAATACAGCGTTCGATGTTGGTTAGTCCCACTTTGGGATGCGCACTGCGTCCTACAACCATTTAAAAATGTGGTGGCATTAAAATGCGGTGTGGCGTAAACAATGACTTGCGGCCCTAACCCCTACATTGGATAAGTTGGTTTTTCGAGCTCTCGAGGTTTGTTACAGATTTATCGGCACCGGGAGTACGAAAGCCTTGAATGATACCTGCTGATACAGGATGGTAATGACTATAATGAGCAAATGTTGAGCTCAGAGTAAAGCCGACTATCGCAATCGCTGTCCAGTGATGTTGAGAAGGTAAGTGCACGCCCCAGTCGACAGTATAGGGTCTCAAATAGTTTTGCCAGTGGAATGTGGTCGAGTCTACTTTCACCACTGATGATGTAGCAGTATCATGACAATATTCTACAAGTCAGTTTGAGGTAGTGTTCAAAAGAAGCAGAACGTCAGAAACTCGAAATGCGAATGCTGTAAAGAAGATCACAAAATGTCAAAAATTCGAGTGGTGGTCTGAATTCGCTGCAATAGAGCGAAAAAGTTGCGGAACAGCGAGAAAAGACGCGATCTCTTCCGGGAGATCTCATTAAACAACCGGCAATGGGTTGTGGTACACTTGGCCGAAGGTGATATTGATGTACTCTTGAAATTTCCTATTTCATTCTCCTTTAATTGACACATCACTTAAAAAACCCGCGATGAGTTTAGCTGATTCAATCTTTTTTCCTTATAATTCTTTGGTGAGTAGGACGAGGCTCCACTAAAGTCTGAAAAGTGCCGCCCTGTAGGCTCGAAAGTGCGCAACATGGGTAGCAGGAGCTTTCCAAGACCGCTTCGACGAGACGCTTCCGCTCTTTACCTTGTCCTTCGCCGGGAGTTTCAATGCTTCAGCTAGCAAAGTCGAATGAGGGCATTGCTAGAGACGCTTGATCGCATGCATTTTTGACCGGTTCTTTTCATCCTTCCGTTCTCTACGAATCCCAGTTCGCAAACCGTTTTACTTTTTTGTGCATGAATTGCACCAGTTTAGCCCTGTGGTGTGGACAACGCTGAAATTAGGCGAGCCATTTTCTGCCTTGCGTCGAACATGCAGTAGTTTCTGCTTTTGAAAATTAAATGCGAGTGCACGATACGGAACCATTTTTCTTTGATCATGAGTGGAACTTTGCCAAATAACTTACACTTCATGCACGTGCCCTTGCGAGACACGCTCTTCAACGTCGGCCAGAGCGCGCAGATGTAACGGAGAATGCGGAAGAGCGCCATGCATCCATGGCAAGCCGAACACCGACAAAAACACATTCAGAAGAGCCACCACGAACAGATCGAGGTTTTGCGTTGAGCCTTTCTTCAGTCTGAAACCCAGGCCTAATGTAGGCATTCCACAAAAATAAATAGTATTGGTGTAGATTGCAAAAGCAGAAGGTATGTTCAAAATCAGTGAAATGAATTCAGAATCATAAATCAATGTCTTCTAGTAGAAGAACGAGAGCTACCTACCCCGAGTGTATCCTACAGGAAATGCTTTGAAGTTCCATGGAACTTTGGATGGAGACCTAGATGTATCGATAGAGTCTCGAACGCTGATTACAAATATGGAACACTTAAAACTGCTACGAACTTCCTAAGGAAGTTATGAGCCTTCAAAGTTGGCAAAAAACGTTGGTGAGGGAGGCAAGCTTACCTGGTGGAATCACAGTCGCCGTACTGGCTTCTTCTGGCTTTCGTATGTTCTTTTTTTTTTTTTTTTTTTTTTTTTTTTTTTTTTTTTTTTTTTTTTTTTTTTTTTTTTTTTTTTTTTTTTTTTTTTTTTTTTTTTTTTTTTTTTTTTTTTTTTTTTTTTTTTTTTTTTTTTTTTTTTTTTTTTTTTTTTTTTTTTCTTTTTTTTTTTTTTTTTTTTTTTTTTTTTTTTTTTTTTTTTTTTTTTTTTTTTTTTTTTTTTTTTTTTTTTTTTTTTTTTTTTTTTTTTTCTTTTTTTTTTTTTTTTTTTTTTTTTTTTTTTTTTTTTTTTTTTTTTTTTTTTTTTTTTTTTTTTTTTTTTTTTTTTTTTTTTTTTTTTTTTTTTTTTTTTTTTTTTTTTTTTTTTTTTTTTTTTTTTTTTTTTTTTTTTTTTTTTTTTTTTTTTTTTTTTTTTTTTTTTTTTTTTTTTTTTTTTTTTTTTTTTTTTAATATAGAACAAGTTCCAGGCAAAAAGCAACCGTGTTTCCACATAGGTTGCACCTCATCATTAGCGTTCTTTTGCAACTTTTAAGGCTCACAACTTTCTTACAAAGTTCACGTAGCAGTTTTAGTGTCCATATTTGTAATCAGCGTCCAAGACTCTATCGACCTAGGTCTCCGTTCAAAGTTCCATGGGAATTTCAAATCCCTGGTTAGACCACCTATTTGAGCTTCATTCTTTTTCGCAGTAGAAATGGCGCATATTCAGTGCTAGGAGGGAAACGAAGAGGGAAGTGATCAATCCTCTGGCAAAAGAAAAGGATAAAAGCAGTATCAAAAAAATGGTTCGTCAGACCGACTGCTCGAAAAATTGTCGTCTTGAGCGGTTGCAAACTAGTGAGTTCGAGCGATTTATCAAATTAATTCATACATCGTTCATACGGCAATGCCGATCGAAGAGATGCGACTAGGATAGAGAGAGACCGCTGCATCAAGAAAGGCAGGATAAATTCGCATTTCTTCCATAAACAAGGAAACAATTTTCCATAGGCTGACCATAAGTATTAAAGTATTCCACTGGCCGCATCCCAAGCCTTTTTCTCACAACGCATTCTCTTGGAATCAAAGTATTAAGTGTAACGATGAAGGCCCCCAGGTCTTTGAATTTGCACTAACCCACACGTGGATAAGTCTTTACCCAGTGCAGCCACCAAACTATCTCCCTTCTACTTTATGTATTTAGAAGTGAGGTGAGCGTACTAGTTCTACGTACTGAAAAAAAACTGGACAACTTACTTGTTCTGAGGATTGTTCACGATGGCTGAAGTGATGTTTTGATCCATGAAAAAAAGAAATGACAGCGAGAATCCTAGCAAAAGGCACACAAAGTAGCCAGATGGTGGCAGTGAAAAGATGTCTGCCGGTTGCATTATGGGCACTTCTACCCGCAATTTGAAGCGATCCTCTGAAAAGGTGCATTTTCATCAAATTGGCTGACAGGGAGGGATCAGAGTACGCATTGAGAGCAACTTACTAGCGATATCGGCGAAACAGTAAGATCCGGTGAAAGACATGATAAGCACCGACGCCGGTAGCGCATAGTCCGCCAACCACTCACGGCGCGATCGCGTTAGATATGGCGTCTGAAAATTGCTACAGTTAACATGCATCTTGAAATATCTTTCCAAGAGTATCGAGGGGGAAGGGTAGCGCTTATCGCGGATGTACCGCGATTCCTTCGATCTATGTAGATATTTTTGCTCCGTTAACGGATGCCGTTGTTCAGGAAAATTTTCTTGATGTAATAGATTTGTTTGTCTCAATGCTTTCAAGGACATTCTTAGCATCGCTTATCTTGTTCATCTTATAGAGCAAGTGCCAACACGCACACAACTGGCATGAGCTGTGATCCACTCTTATCCACTTCCTGTTCTATACGTCTGCGCCAGATTCTTTGGTCGAGTGTGCCGTGTACTTGGCTTCTATGTCGTGACAGCATTTAACCATCACTAGACTTGGCAATTCGTTTAGCACTTGCGCAAGAGAGAGTCCAGTAAGGCGACAACGATGTATCGCCGACTCAAAGGTAAAGTACGCTGGCAAACAGAGGCGCGGAGGTGTTGTAAAGGTAAGCAGCTCGGTACGGATCGAATTTCACCCAGGTTAACAGAGCCTTCTTCCCTTCGAAGTTGGCCAATCGTCGTAAGATTGTCTGCATGAATAAAAAGATTGCTTATGCGTCGGCTAGTGCATGTTACTGAGTAGGCCCCATAGTACTCAAATGTCACTATAAGGCCGATGTCAGACTTTGCGAATCGCGCGATTCGCTAGCGATTCGCTAGCGTCCGCGGTCGCGTTGCGGTACCAGCCAATTGAGTGATTCACTGGCCGCGACGCGACCGCAGACGCTAGCGAATCGCGCGATTCGCAAAGTCTGACATCGGCCTGATTCTTAACTCCTTTCACTGTAGTCTTACTGTAGCGTATACAATGCGCTCAAGCTTGCTCCAATTCCACTCATTTCCTTACGGCCTTATCAGCTTGCCATGCACACAACTTATTTCCTCAATCGTGATTAAGCGTCCAGTCGAAAAGAATGAGTTTGGATTTCCGTACTATGAGGTTCTCCACAACTACTCGACAAAATGCTCATTTCTGAAACCACAGCCTCTATCGTGATAATAAAGTGAAAGAGTGAAAGCGAACTAGGAACTTTCGAAATAGAAAATAGGGTCAAAAAGTGCACACTTCGAAACACTCAAGAAAAAGTCAGCGTACACGCGAAGATAATAGGAAGGAATCCCAGAGACATAGTTCCATGTATTCTCTCATAAAATGGAAATAATCGGCACTGGTGAGTCATTTCAGAGATGCGCCACGCACTTGAAACTCGCCCCAATTGTCACTATCGATCCAGCTACCGTACAGTGTACATCAACTACATGTGCGCGCTGCGCTCTTTCTGATGTCGAAGTAGTTGAGAATTTCACGACTTGCCGTTTTCAGCTCGTCATACCGAGAATTTCAGCGGGATGCTATTCCTACAGTTTCTTTTACTTTTTCAGAATTTCAGGTTTCCGATTGTTTTTTTTTCAGCTGCAGCTCCTATACAGTTACTCTTTGAGCTCAACTGGTGTAGCAGCAAATGGCGCCGCTTACCACGCATGGTCCGGATGGTCCGGAGGTGAGATTTGAACCGAATTCCACTCTAGAATCCTCGCTTTGGAAAGGGTCATTCAGCTGGCTTCCTTGCTATTTCTAGAACCCCTTTATTACCAGAATAGGAGGTGAATAGTGGACGGGTGTTCATTTCATTCGAGTAGTGTGGAGCAGGTTTCAACTCCCGCTTCAATTTTTTTTAATTTTTTTATTTTTTTTTTTCAATTTGAGCATGGCGTTTGTAGCGGTAAAATTTGGACAGGCCCGGCCGCACTTTAGCGTACTCTTATGTATATCCTGCAAAACGCACTAAATGATACAAGATCACTGCAATCAAGAGTAATACCTTTCTGAAGTTATACAGAAAAAGACCGAGCCAAAGTGTTCCA